TTGGATGAGAAAGAAGAAACAAATGTGCCTAGGCTGGTTGGTGTGATGCTATAAATTGGTTCTTTATATAGTAGTTTTTTCGTAAATAAAAAAAAAGTGTGGAGATAAAATGGGAAGACCATGTTAATTTCATTAAACATGAAGCGAGAAGCTCTTGCGAAAGTAATAAATTGGAGCTTCCAAACTTTGCAAAGGAACGACGACAAGGTGAGCTTTTCGAAAGCTGCAACACATTTGAAAAGCTACACTGTTTTGTAAAACTTGTGCTTTTAGAGCCAAAAAGCTCTTTTCACAATTTGCACCAAACACCCTCTAAAACTGGAACAGGGCTATCTTCCCTGCTCATTATTATTATTATTTTTAAATAATCTTCCCTCCTTTTTAGATCAACGGGTTAATGCCAACTATCGTCCCTCTACTATAAGAAATAGTTCAATTTAAACCTTCTACTTTCAAGTCACCTCATGTCGTCTCTCTATTATGAATTAACTACACATGTCCTCCCTCTACTATTGGAAAATGTACTGATGTCGTCCCTCCGTACAAGTTCCGTCCAATTTTGGGTTAACGGATGGTTTGTTCACCGTTAACTTTAACTTGTCCAGACATCCAATCCGTTTTTTTTTGTTTTTGACACTGGGCTTGTGGGCCCCGCCAGTGCCACAGTAGATCACTAGATCCCCTTTGGACTTCTTCTCTCTGCGAAGTTGCTAGACTTCCCGCCGCCTTTTCTTCACGCAGAGCTTGTAGGCTGGAAATCATCTTCTTCTTCTTTTTTTTATAGTATTTTGGCTCTAAAAAATTCTCAGCTTTTTATCATTGATGAACTTGGGAGGGGAACTAGTACACAATTCAAGTGTTGAGTTGCTTCAGGTTTTGTAAATTATGCCGTGGGGAAATTTTCTGTTATTTGTAATGATTAGCTTGATATCTCAGCATTTTCTTGTGAAAATGAAACACGTCAAATCTTAATTGTTTTCAAATCATGGGTAAGATATGATTCATTGCCATTGCACATATCATATGCTGCTATTATTGGGTTTAA